ACCACTGCAGCCAGGACCAAGGAATGCTATTTTCAGTCAAATGGCACTGGATAAGGAGACCACCTGGTTACAGAGACCACACTTTGAAGGTCGCCTTAGACAGGTTTCACTGTACATTGTTACCTTGAGGAGATCATAGATCTCATTGTTATAGATTTCCACCACAGAGACATCCACGGCCACACGGCAATCAGCAGACCGCTCCCCGATGAGCCTGTAACAGAGCAAGTCAAAAAGGAAACACAATCAGAATGCCCTGGTGACATTGCATGAAATCGCAGTTCTACACAGAGAGAAGGCACGGGGTTAGTGCCCAGAGCATGCAGACTGTGCGTATGCAATCGGGAACCAATACTAGTAATGCTGCGCTCTGCAAGTACACAGCCGCTGTCTAGTTACCAGTGCAGTGTTCACAACTTCAGTACAATGGCTGTAGTGCTGTCACAGTCAGATTAATAATACTTTTACTGTGGCAAGTTAGACGTGCCATGGCTGAAACACGTAACAGCATGTCTCAAGTGTAATCACACACCAGACACTTAGACCAGCGACTACTCGGACTGAATCATGTCTTCCTGGCATGGATCAAATATTATTTGATCCATGCCAGGAAGACATGTGTCAGATTCGTCATGATCAGACAGTCATTACAATTTACCAGCAGCCTGCCCTGTCGCAGTAATAATCATAAAACTGCACATGCGCTAGACTGACCTGAACACCTCCACAGCAGCTCTGGGTATGATACCGTGGTGGATGCACTGTGGCGGGTACTTTCCAGGACTGCCTGACTTCTCATTCCACCAGACATCCGATGAGGATACCCCGGACTCCAGGCCATCACCTAACATACTGTGTGTCTTACCACTTCCTGTCTGCCCGTATGCCATCAAGCAGGCATTGTAGCTGTCACACATACAGGAAACACAACAGAAGACAGCATGCACACACTGCGTGTATAGTCTGATAACGTTAGTACAAACTCATACACAAAAATATACAATGAAAACAAACATACTCACTCACAGGTCCTTGTAGGCAAAACACAATATAAAATAAAGTGTCAATGAAAAAGAGCTACTTTTAAAACAAACTTACCCATCAAGCAGTGACGTGAGCAATGGTTGCACCTCAGCAAAAACATCGGACTGATTACTGCTGGGCCCATAGACACTACGGTCGGGGAACACACAGACACAGACACACACACAGACAGTCACACAGACACAGACACACAGACAGTCACACACACACACACACACAGACAGACACCTCAGACCTCATACCTGCCCATCGCAGAAGCGATGATAGCGAACAGCTATGTTAGACATAGCAACTTGTGCTGGGATTACACCATTCAACAGCTTGCAAGGCTGATGAATTGACCGCCACTAATTTTAACCTGGTATCCACCACACCACTGATTGAAGTGACTTTTTCTGGCCAGTGAATCCCTATTTTTCATTTTTTTCTTTTTCCATTTTACACAGACAGACACAGACACAGGCAGATACACACACACGCACAGACACAGACAGACACACGCACACACGCACAGACACAGACAGACACACGCACAGACACAGACAGACACACGCACACACGCACACACGCACAGACACACACACACACGCACAGACACAGACAGACACACACACACACAGACACACACACACACACACACACACACACACACACATGCATACGTCCACACGTACAAACACATCTGGTACAAAAAATAGACTGCATCAGTTTCATCAGTCATGATAATTCACTGTGTGACTAGCTTACACTTTCACCTAGCTATCCATGCATTTCCAGCCACAGTGGCTATATCACAAGAAAACGATAACAGAGGGTAGGGAAGCCAATAAAATCAATTTAGCATGAAAGTTGTTCAAATTTGTTTTGAAGAGGCACGTAATGCTGAGTCGTTGACTGCATATGATACCTCACCAATTTCTTCATCTTCTAAAGCTCTCTACAAACAATTACATACACGTGCGTATATTTTCTCCTGAACTTTACTCGATGCCAGTCAACTACAGCACAAACATGCAAGAATGAATTCAATTGTAGAAGTTGCACAAACATACCGATCAAACTCAAAGTTTTTGTTTGAGACGCCGACACCACTGAGTTGCTGCTTGAGAGTATGCACGCACACGGTTTCCTGAGGATAAAGACAAGACACACATGCCACAACAATCAGTGACACATGTGACCTCTGTGCTTTTCCAACAGCTCACATACTCAGCCCATTTCTTTTCTAAGCATGTTAGATTGGCTCAGTAGTCAATGCCCCCCCCCCCCCCAAAGAACATTTAGAATGCAATTCACAAAGGCACACACACAACCACCTTTGTGTCCCTGATACCAGAGCAGAAACCATGACATGCAAAACGTTTGAAATCTCTCTTGCTGCTTTTGATACTGCGTCGATTGTGCGAAACAGTGTGCTCAGAGCATAGGGCAAGTGCCTAGCCCTGGGTAAGAACCATCCTGCCAGTACAACTACATGTACATTGCCGTGAGCACAGACCAACGTGCAGTGCATGGAGCACTGACAGTGCACTGACAGTGTATAGCATGAAAATGTCATGCTACTTTTAAAATAATAACCTATCCATTGCACACACTACCTCCGTTCCAATGTACATTGCAACTCGCTTAGCACGTATTCTGATAAGACATGCTCTTGCTTAGTACGGACATTGCCCGAAGCACATGTACATTGATCCATACTGAAGTAGGTTGGGATAAGAAGAAGTATCTTGGATACTAAGTGCACTTTCCTGCTGCCCATGTACTTGTGCGTGTGTCTTATCGGAGTTCTACTGTATATACTCTGAACAAGAATGCAGAGAGCTTGCTTTACCTCATCAATGGGTAGAATGACCTCCTCCAGCAGTCTGCATTAAACCACCACATTGGACAAGACTCGGTGGTACAAGCACGGAAAATGAAAGTACAGAATCTACCACTAGATTGACACAATCCCATCTTTTTAATTTTTTTATACACATGAAGTCATAAAACCACTCTACTGTGCTGTCCAATGATCGCTTATGCATGAAACCCGGAGTCGCAATTTTAGTAAACCCGCTCTAATAACAACATAGTAATACTGAAACAATACGCCATGATTGCAAAAGAGACTAAATGGATCCTGGTGTAAGAAAATAACTTTTTTTAAGACCATGGCTAGCCCATCTTCAAGTTTCGTTGACACTGTGTGCTGCCAGCCTAGCCCAATGGTACTATAGCGCTAGGAGAGCAGATAGCAATGGCACAATGGCAAAATCGTTCAATTATGATCAGACTCATACCCAGTGTTAGTCCTCGCCATACCCACACCGCTTGAACTACTTGTGCCCGAACTAGTGCGCTGATCAAACGCGAGCATGGGGCGCAAGCGGCAGTGAACTCGGATGTTTCCACGCAGCTCCTAATATGAGGTATATAGCAACAATGACGACGAGGACGACAAACAAAAACAAACGACAACCACAACAGCAGCAGCAGCAGCACCAGCACCAGCACCAGCACCAGCAACAACAACAACAACAACAACAACAACAACAACAACAACAACAACAACAACAACAACAACAACAACAACAACAACAACAACAACAACAACAACAGTGAGAATAAAGAATTCAAATTCAAAAAACAGAGTACGTTTATGCTTCGTTGCAAAGTGTGTTGAAAGATAAACAGCATCCACAGTACTATCCTGTACTGGGTAAGGCCAACTGTCATGATTTCACCACTGTGGGAAAAAAACAGACTTCCTGTCCTACTGGGACATGCACTCACAGGGACGTCGAATCTAGTGCAGCAGGTGCTGCCAAAGCCGAACTAATAATTTAAACAAACGATGGTGTGTGATCTTTCCACTCTTAATCGACGGCGACACGTTTCAGCTGTTCTCTCAGCTGAGTGGTACCGAGCAGGAGGACGAAGACAAGGAATGATCTACCCTCCAGACAGCTTATGTCTTAACTGCCATTGAGGCTTATTGGAGGTTTTTAAAGGTCGCACCCTTCGTATGGTTGAACCAGCAGAAGCTAATGTGTCGGACCTCAAGCGCCTGCTGGGGCTGGTCTGCTTCACAACCATTGCTAGTGCCCAATGTCACCTATGGCTTGTTGGCAAACATATGAAGAGAGATAGTATCATACTGAGGGTCCAGATTTCTAGGAAGACACATACGTCATCAGTCACCAGAACATCACATTATGGCAAAACCGGATGTAGAAAAATGCATGATGCTAATATCTACACTTTCTATACCTACTACTACTGACCACAACTGTGTTGTGAAGGGCTTTCCGTCTCTTCTTCTCCTGTTCATATAATGTTTGTAATGATGAATAGTCTTTCCGAGCCGTTTTCAGTTGTTCTTTCAATGCTAGAACAGGGACAGACACGGAAAGAGAAGGCAGTTAGGAATACACCCAAACTAACTACAAACTAGCACAGTAACCCACCTGCAAACAAAAACCCGAAAATAATGTTTAACATGACGATGTACAATGATGCAGCAATGCGAAAGCCACTTAGCGCATTCTTTGATGCTCTGGTTGTGGTTTCCGTCCAGATGTAATATTAAGGTAATATAATTATTATGCCGCCAACTTTAAAGCAGACAAAACAGCAAAAAATGCTATGACAAACAATGATTTATAGAAAAGAAAAAGGACCAAGGAACTACAAGCTACGCTATAATGTCCAATAACACCAGCAGTTACTAAAAAATCAGCTCATGCGATAACATTGCGACATCCGAGTCCATTTTTACGAACGATGATAATAGGAATATGTTAAGCACAAGATCATGAAACAAACTCACAGCTCACGAGGCTATCCGACTTAAGCAACACTTGATTTTGAAGTTGCTCAAACATCTGGCCACAAGTCTGAAGAGAAGAGGCTGAAATGTTGGGAAAACCCTCCACGTGCGACCTCATTTCGTCCACGTCAAATCGAAGCGCCTACAAAAACCAAAGCAAACATTTATCTCGGATGGTGAGCCAATATAATTATGATGAAGAAAGGAAAAGGACAAAATGTTATGAGTTATGACAAACTGTCCACCAACGTAACCAGATCTTATACAGTCAGCGAGTGCGACAAAATGGCACAAAACTGACAAGGAGTATTGAGACATTCGGCGACCTGACACCTAGCTCCAACACTTCTCCAAGGCGCAAACCAACAACCTTCCAACTTGGAAGGCTCAGGTTAGGAAAGGTCCAAGAGGGGAAGGAAAGCGCAACGAAGAAGAGCATGAGCTACGCGCCATGGCAACAAAGAATGCCGAAAGTTACTGGATGATGACAAAACTAGTAAGACTATTGGAAATACCGGCCTTACTACAACTCGACGACGCAAAGCAACAGACCACCCAACTTGGGAGGCTCAAGTCTATGTAATAAACATAGAAAGGGGAAGCTAAGCGAAGACAAATTGTGACAAACCGAAACGTCAACATCCTACTGAACTCCACTATCATGTAAATATGATGGACTAGTTATGTACAATAACAAGCCTCAGTACTCCTTGTCAGTTTTGTGCCATTTTGTCGCACTCGCTGACTGTATAAGATCTGGTTACGTTGGTGGACAGTTTGTCATAACTCGTAACATTTTGTCCTTTTCCTTTCTTCAAACATTTATCGTTTTTCATTTAAAAATGAAAAAAACGATAACAGTACACAGTCAATTATGAATAGCCATGATCAATTGAAGAGAAAAAAAGCCTCGAAGAGCCATATCTAACCCAGCCAACACTAATATTCAAACCACGTATTTCCTGTTTACTAGACAGGTGCTTTAAAGGGGAAGTAAAGCCTAAATCAAATGTTCACCAGTTGTAGTCTTCGGGGCGCTGAGTCAGATGGTCTTGGTCCAAGGAAGCTGAGACGCTCCCTTTCTCCTTTACTCCCAATCGAACTCGCCACTTCCACCGAAACTGGGTGACTGCGCCCTACTAGATGGGGATTTGTATGCAAAATGTCACTAAAAGCGCCATTTCGTTCTTATACAAGCACGGATGATCGCGGTCATCCGTGCTTTTATAAGAACGAAAACGCCCCGAAGACTACAACTGGTGAAAACTTGATTTTAGGCTTTACTTCCCCTTTAACCCCTTTAACCTCTACATGTAAGCAATAGCGGCACATGAATTCATTTGACCCTAGTTAGTAAAGGCCGATTCATATTTCATTTTGCGTACGGGAAGCGACGGGCCAAAATAGTTGAGCTCAGGTCAACTTTTTCGCGATGCGACGCGTTTCCCGTACGCGACATGAAGTATGAATCAGACGTTACATGTTCCCAATTTCTGGGCAAAAATGGGTGACAAGGTCTTCCATCATACCTGCAGGGTTTATTATTCGATTTCTACAGGTCTTCATTGTAACGGCTTTCAAGTGACGGTTTACAAACCCAACACCACCAATAAACATGCCACCACACCTCTCTTTGTTCAACCCAATGGAGAGAACTCAGTCATACCCATCCAACCATCAATGTATCAAAATGAAGATGATAATCTCCCTTGAATAGCTTCTACTGAGTTTGCTTGGATATCGATTGCCCACCTGGACAATCAACATCAAATTATACACCCTGATGGTTAAGAACGGCTGCTGCGCTGTCAACCTCTGAACTTTACCGCAGTCAGGTGACAAGGTATACCTCATATCAAGCCGGAGAGGAAGTATTTGCGGCATGATTCAGGAAAAGGAGGAGGGGTTGGGGCGAGGATATACTGAAGAAAAAGAAGCCTTTGAAGGCAAAAAAATAGCTACAGGATCCCCGCACACAACGACATCCAATGCTTCAACTACAACAATTAAAAACAATTCAGGAAAATAGCTATCACATTGTTACAATAAAGCATGTCGATTTAGCTCGTCCTTTTGTTCACAATTTTGAAACTTACAGGAAAAGAAAGTTTTAAAAAAAGAAGCCTCGGAGAGCCATCTTATCCCAGACAACTGAGTGGTGATGGACACAAACCATCAAGAGACTCGGCACTCTCATCATCAGCGACCAGCCACCACCCGGATTCGAACCGGGGATCTCCTGTTTACTAGACAGGCGCTTTAACCCCTAAGCCATGGCGGCACATGAATTCACCTGACTCTAGCCAGTAATACATTCCCGATATCTTGGCGAAATGGGCAACGAGTTTAATTCCTTGTGTCTGGCCACAAGATGCCAGCTGACATACTCAATCAAAATTAAGGAAGAGAGCTCAATACAGCCACACCCATCCAATCACCAATGTATCAAAATAAAGATGATAACTCTCTCTCTCTCTCTCTCTCTCTCTCTCTCTCTCTCTCTCTCTCTCTCTCTCTCTCTCGCTCGCACTCTCTCTCGCTCTCTCTCTGCTATTGGCGCGCCTGGTTGTGATGAAGACGAGACCCAAGGTCGGCAGAGCATCCCAGACCACTCCACCACTCCCCTTATCCATGGCTCACACATGACGGGTTTACGTGGCTCTGGTAAAAAATAAATAAATAAAAATAAATAAATTACTTCCCCTGAGTAGCTTCTACCGAGTTTGGTCTGATATCGATGCCTGCCAGGACAATCAAGTCAGCAACACATCATGCCTCATATACACCCCGAAGAGACTGTGTTTACAACATGATTCAGGGAGATATGGGGGGGGGGGGGTATACTCAAGAAAAAGAAGACTTGGAAGGCAACAAAAAAAGTTACAAGAGTGCACACGACAAGGAGATCAAATACAGCAAACACTACTTGAACTAGAACACACAAAAAAACAGCTACAAGAAAAAAAAGAAAAAAAAGAAGCCTCGGAGAGCCGTCTTATCCCAGACAACTGGGTGGTGATGGACACAAACCATCAAGAGACTCGGCACTCTCATCATCAGCAACCAGCCACCACCCGGATTCGAACCGGGGATCTCCTGTTTACTAGACAGGCGCTTTAACCCCTAAGCCATGGCGGCACATGAATTCACCTGACTCTAGCCAGTAATACATTCCCGATATCTTGGCGAAATGGGCAACGAGTTTAATTCCTTGTGTCTGGCCACAAGATGCCAGCTGACATACTCAATCAAAATTAAGGAAGAGAGCTCAATACAGCCACACCCATCCAATCACCAATGTATCAAAATAAAGATGATAACTCTCTCTCTCTCTCTCTCTCTCTCTCTCTCTCTCTCTCTCTCTCTCTCTCTCTCTCTCTCTCTCTCTCTCTCGCTCGCACTCTCTCTCGCTCTCTCTCTGCTATTGGCGCGCCTGGTTGTGATGAAGACGAGACCCAAGGTCGGCAGAGCATCCCAGACCACTCCACCACTCCCCTTATCCATGGCTCACACATGACGGGTTTACGTGGCTCTGGTAAAAAATAAATAAATAAAAATAAATAAATTACTTCCCCTGAGTAGCTTCTACCGAGTTTGGTCTGATATCGATGCCTGCCAGGACAATCAAGTCAGCAACACATCATGCCTCATATACACCCCGAAGAGACTGTGTTTACAACATGATTCAGGGAGATATGGGGGGGGGGGGGGTATACTCAAGAAAAAGAAGACTTGGAAGGCAACAAAAAAAGTTACAAGAGTGCACACGACAAGGAGATCAAATACAGCAAACACTACTTGAACTAGAACACACAAAAAAACAGCTACAAGAAAAAAAAGAAAAAAAAGAAGCCTCGGAGAGCCGTCTTATCCCAGACAACTGGGTGGTGATGGACACAAACCATCAAGAGACTCGGCACTCTCATCATCAGCAACCAGCCACCACCCGGATTCGAACCGGGGATCTCCTGTTTACTAGACAGGCGCTTTAACCCCTAAGCCATGGCGGCACATGAATTTATCCAACTCTAGCCAGTAAAACATTCCACAGAGAGACCTTTAATACTGATGTAGTTATGTAGTGCGGAACCTCAGTCATGTATCTTGGCGAAAAGGGTGACGAGCTACGTCCATGCATTCCTTGTGTCTGGCCACAAGTTCCCAGCTAACTTCCTCAATCGAAATTATGGAGGGAGCTCAATACAGCCACACCCATACAATCACCGATGTATGAGTATAAAGAAGATTACTTCCCCTAAGGCCGTTTGGTCTGATATTGACACCTGCCGGGACAATCAAGTGAACAACAACACATCTTGATGGTTTAGAAAACAAGATTTATGACAGCTACGCTGTTGTTATGTTTAAAAAAAATACATGTATACCGTAGATTTCTCTAATAAAAGCCCAGGTCTCCAATAATAGCCCAGTCTCCAATAATGACTCGGGGTGAGGGTTGTTTGACATAATAAGAGCACAGTCTCTAATAGTAGCGCGGGCCACAATTGGAGTATGCAACAAGTATATTGACTGCACATAATACAGCATTACAGCATGCAAAGCACACACTGTAAATATACAAAATTTCGGCGCTAAAAAATTTCGGCACTTCACGATTTTTGACATTTCGGCGGCGATTTATTTTCGGCGTGGGGTGGAGGGCATGGTATAGTGCGACAGATGCTGTGAAAATATTTCATCGGCGTTTTAATTTAGGCGTTTTGGGTCGGTGCCGAATATAGCCGAAATTAAATAGCTGCCGAAAATTTGTATATTTACAGTATTCTAACTTCTAAGGGAGGTGTTTGGTCTACTACTTCTTTCCTGGCACCCAAGTAATTGTGAAACATCAGTTTAGACACTATTTCTGAGTGTAGGGTTGAGAAAATCAGTCTTGATATGGTCAGTTTGTGCCTATAGAGATTGGAGTTGGCTTGATAGCGGAGCATTAAAAAAATAAGAACACAGTCTCCAATACATGTAATAGCACAGTTTCCAATAGTAGCGCAGGTAGAGCTGTCACTGAAATAATAACAACCCCGCGCTCTTATTAGAGAAAATACGGCAAATGCCAGAAGTACATGTAGTTCCAGCGCTTGTCCTTCGAGTTCAGGCCATATACTGTGAAGTACACATTCCACA